CAAAACTTTTCCGAGATCGACCAATGTCGCCGATAAAAACAGCAATTTATTGGATTGAATATGTTATTAAACACAATGGGGCGCCTCATTTAAAATCATTTGTAACAAAACTTTATTGGTACCAATATTATTTATTGGATATTATTGGAGTCATCTTAATAATTTTTCTATTTATTTTTATTATTTTGTATTTAATTTGTAAGCAATTAATTAAGTTAGCTTTAAAAGTAAAAGGTATTCAGTATATTTGTAATAGTAAAAAAAGAAAATAAAATTCTGTTCAAATAATAAGTAAAATCAAAAGTATTCCAATTCACCAAGAATACGAAGAATTCGTTATAATAACGAATATAAAGAATTTTCATTTCAGCCATCTTGATTTTACAAAATTACCTCACTAAATAATTAACGAGGCTCTGGCAATCCAGTATCGGGGGATATAACCCAGTGCAATTTACCATAGCAATGGAGTTCAACTTCATTCGGGTAATCACGCATAAGGTGGGTTTAATGGTTCAGAGAACAAACATGAGACAAACGTCGGACATGAAGCATGTATTTATTTTCAAGGGAAAATTGCCTGGATATATACCTTGGGTATTTACCCAAGATGGGTATTTAGATGTATTTATAAAATTTGATTTAAATTGAGTTGATGGCAGTTTTGCAAGTACTTCAAGAATGCAGAGTCCATCATCGATACACCAAATTTATTTATAACATTTACTGGATTCGACCCAAAAAGGTTTTACGTATTGCCATCAATGTTTATGATGGCAATACGTAAGTAATTTGCGCTACGCGGACGATATAGTCCTTATTTCGGATAGCCTTGGAGAGATGAAACTGATGTTGAACATATACAGGAGGCGTGTGCAAGAGTCGGCCTAAATATCAACAAAATTTAGGACAAATCTTTTTCCAAGCTCAATCAATATTGGTGATAATGAATACTTCTATCTTGAATACTTTCGATGGTATGTCATTAATCACTGATGCCTTTCCATGTTTTGACGCAGTGATTGCGTTTTGAACCTCACTGATTGATATAAGTTCCATGACACTATCCTTTCTTTGGTGTGACGGACTGCTATCTATTTCCAAATCAATTTCTATGCTTAATAGGTTTTGGAAATAATTTTTCCAAATGTCATTCATTTCAGTATCATATATTATTTTGTTCCATCTCAGCATAGAGCTGTGTGCGATTTGTGCCTTTGTCTTAACTGTCTAACAAATTTATACACATTCCTGGTGTTATTAGCTTTAAAGTGTACAGGGTGGGCAAATTTGGGTGTTATTATAGGCTATCTCAGAAACTATAAGAGATACGAAAAAAGTAGGTGCCATGTCCCGATCTCTTTTTTCGAGACTAACCCAATCCCGCAAACACCAAACCTCTATCTTCTTTTGTTTTTAAGTTATAGCCAAAAAGTCAAATTTTCGTGATTTTAAAAAATGCTCATATTTCGTTTATTTTTGAAATTAGAGAACTAGGGTTGATACGTTCTTAAGACACTTTTTTAAGTAGAATATACTGCCGTTGAAAAATTTTAAAAATATTTGATGATTTTAGAGATACAACACAAAGTTGTATTTTTTTAAATACAAACTATAGTTTATTATGATATTACTGAAAAGAGCATATTTTTAGCTTTCCAATGATGTATCGCACGCATGATGTTTCTGCGGAAAATAAGCGTTATTTTTCAATTTTTAAAATATTAAAGATTAAAATTCAAATTTTTAATTATAGTAGGCGAGGAAAACGCTAAATACTACTTAGTTACTATAGCAACGTGAGTTTACTTGTCATTTCATTCATGAATTTTGCGAAACGAGTTTCCCGTTTAAGAAGTTCCGCATTATCTTTAAATAAAACGATAAAATTAAATATAGAATATATTGGAGTCCGCTTTGAAGATGATACATAAGTCTTCATATCCCCATTCAAACGGTGTTTCAATGGAAAGTCCGCTCCCAGTTTATGATTCCTAATTTTCCTCTATCTCACCCAATTTCAAAAGAAAAGATTGCTGATATCAAAAAACTTCTACATCTTATGTTTGGGGAAAACTGGGAAAATACTACCGAAGATTTCATTCATTGATACCGAACTGTTCTAATCTTACAACCAGTAAGTTGAGTAGAAGAAGATGACAGTTTATGACTGTTTAGTTCCTGAAGTTGTCCATATTTAATTATTCATTAATTAATACATTTCTTGTATTTTTAATAAACAAACTTTAAATGCTAATCATTTTTTATTGGTGAACAAAGTCAGGGATAAGATGCTGAGAAATTTAAATTAACTATTCAAAGTTTTTATTCGTTGGTACAAAACCAACTTTATCCTGCATAATGGTACAAGACCAACTTTCTGTCATATTCGTGCAAAACCATATAGCAATTAGGTAGTAATTACTGTCCGAACCCGCCTACTATAATCAAAATTTTGAACTTTAGCGCTTACTATTTTGGAATTGAAAATTAACGCTTATTTTCCGCAAATGCACCATACATGCGATACATCATTGGAAAGCTAAAAATATGCTCTTTTCATTAACATCATAATCAAGTATAGTTTGTATTTAAAAAAATACAACTTTGTGTTGTATCTCAAAAATCATCAAATATTTTTAAAATTTTTCAACGGCAGTATATTCTACTTAAAAAAGTGTCTTAAGAACGTATCAACCCCATTTCTCTAATTTCAAAAATAAACGAAATATGAGCATTTTTTGAAATCACGAAAATTTGACTTTTTGGCTATAACTTAAAAACAAAAGAAGATAGAGGTTTGGTGTTTGCGGGATTGGCTTAGTCTCGAAAAAAGAGACCGGGACATGGCACCTACTTTTTTCGTATCTCTTATAGTTTCTGAGATAGCCTATAATAACACCCAAATTTGCCCACCCTGTACATAATATATATTTCGAGAAAGTTTATATTTTCACTACCAACCATTCTCGTTTATGTAATACTCTTCGAAAATATTTAACGATTTCTTTAATGCTTGAAAAACAACTTTGAAATTTCTGAATTGAGTATAAGTCTAATATTAATGACTAAATTCAGTTTTTGTGCTTCATTAATTCTTGTTGTTTGATTCTTTTCTAGTCATATTATTGCACTTCCATCAAATCCAAGATTCCAAGATCCATGAGATTGTTGATTTCCAATTGAAAATTAAGTAGTTCGTTTAAGATCTTATTATTCTTCTTCTTTTATTCAGGTTGTAACCTGTTTTTTACGCGTCATTCATGGTGTTTCATTAGAGCTGGAAATCTAACTTCCTGGTCTTCCGGGATTTCCTTCTAGCTAATCTTTGGTCTCTTGCTGTCTTAATCAGCCAGGTTTCTTCCGTTCTTTGGAAGTATTCATTAATTTTTTTTATTTTTCCCCTAGCAAATCTCATGACATCTCCGAATCCACAAAATTCTCTTACAATTTTGGTCCTAACTCTATCTCTTCTTGTCTTTTCCACTATTATTCTTAAAGTACTCATCTCACTTGGTTCGCATCGCATCCATATATCTTGGTCATGAGGTTCGTATATCGAGAGATAATAATCAAACAAGCCAACTAAACAGAAGGATGCGCAGCCTACAGGAAACTTAGAGACATCTTCATAAGTGATATTCATGTATATTTGAAAAGAAAGGCTTTCAATCAATGCGTGCTTCCTCCTTTGGTTATGACATACCGTTCCGAAACTTTAACATTAACGGTGGCCATTACCAGCTCAAAGTAATGCAAATAAAGATGGACAGGTCGATGCTGGAATGTTTACAATACATTAAAATTGTCAAATTAAAATTAATCCAACCTCATATCGTAAAGTGAGCGATAAACACAATTATCAAACTAGAAATAATAACAATATTGAAATAAATTTTACACGTACTGTGAGAGCTCGATGTGGTGTGAACTATTATGCCGTGAAGCTGTTTAATGTGATGTCTGAGCATCTCCGGGTCCTTGTTGGAAAACAGTTTAAATCTTAAATAAGGCTCTATCATGGATTTAAAAGTTTCTATGGCATTGATGAATGCCTCAAAAATAATTGGACTTGGAGGACTTGCCGATTGCATTGCCATAGTTGTAAGCGTTTTTTGTTGCAACATTTTCCAACTTGTATTTGTTTGTTTTATTTTGTTTGCTTTCTGTAGTCAGCTCGTATTAATTGTGTTGTATTTTTATGATGTTTTCCTTTGTCAGCCTAATTTTCGTACGAATTTTTGCTGTAGTATGTACCAGGTGATGAAACTTTCTTAATGACAGAATAGAGAAATCGATCAATCACGTAACAAAAAAAATCAAACCACCAATTCCAGTTGTCTTTCTATACATACAAATGATTGAAGTTGACTAATCTCGCTCTAATCGTGGCCAGTCTGAAAGAGATTGCGTGCAGATGATACCATTACCAACGTCAGCTATGAAGATAATAAAAAACTGCTTTCTGTCTTGTAGTAACTGCCTCTAGTTCTTCAAGGGGATATAATCTACACATTTCGCATTACATTCTACTGCAGTCAGCATCTGGTAAGGCAGTTCTTTTGGATAACTGCGATTTGAATGAAGAGTTGATGAAAGATGTTAACATAAAAATATTTGCAGCAATTAAAGACTTTACATGTAACTCGATCAGTTATTTTCTAAATGTTATGCTTTATGTATTAGTTCGAATTTTATTAGTTGTGTATTATAATTTTAGTGTAATTGTGTTGTTATGTTAGAGATAAAGGCAAAATTAACAATTTGATAGACACTGAAAGTAAAATTCCAAGAATATATGTCACACAACTATTTTAACACAGAAAAATTATATTCTAATGTTTAGTCGCCTGCAACGAAATTCTCGAAATATCACTTAACTATCCTTTACCGCACTATGCTAAATATGTAAAAAAGGGAAATTTTTAAATTCCTCTTTAGGTCGCACTATAAATACGAATATTTGTAAGGCGATCATCATTATAAACTCATTAACCTAAGAAATGAAAAAAACATGAAGTACTTTTCAACAAACAAGAATTTCTTTTGGTTATCATTACTGCTCAGTGTCTTAATAAATTTTATTTCGTATATTGATAGTGCAAAAATCTTAGTTTTTTTCCCGTTATCTACATATAGTCACGTAAATATGTTTAAAGGGATGGTAAAGCCACTTTTAAATCGAGGACATGAAATCGATTTTGTTAGTTTTTATCCATTAAACGTGAAACATAAAAGGTAAGTGTATTTGTAACTAACAAACCGTTCCTCTATCTTTAACAAAGTTGAAATAATCTGTTTACACTTTTTTTTGTTTTTAGATATACTGAAATTGATATAAGTAATTGTTTTCCAGTATTTAAAAACAACATAACAATTCTAAAAAGCGCAGTTGGCAACTTAGAATTAATGCAACAAATGTTTAATACTCTCGGTCACGATATAATGGATGCAGTTTTAAAATCGCCGCAATTACGCGAATTAAGAAACACCACAAAAAAATACGATTTAATTTTGCGACATGTTTTTTTAAGTGATCCCTTAGAAATTTATTCGCATATTTTTGGAGCGCCTTCAATTGGATTAATAACAAGTGTTAATTTACCTTGGACTTCCGATTTAGTTGGAATTCCTGATAATCCGGCTTTTATTCCAAGCTTCAACAGTCCTTATGGTGAAAAAATGACATTTATTGAACGTGCTCTTAATACTTTTGTGTATACTTATCAAAAATACGAATATTGGAGTCTTCAAAAGCGTTTCACGGAATTAGTTTGGAAATATTTTGGACGAGATCTACCGAGGGTTGAGGAACTTATTGGAAAAACTAGTTTAATTTTTTGTAATAGTCATTATACAATTCATCAATCTAGATCTATGCCACCGAATTTTATCGAAATTGGGGGTGTTCATATTCCTGAAAAAAACAATTTTAGTCTTCCAAAAGTAAGTATGTTAGTTATTTTTATGATTTTTAAATAACAATATGTGGTATTTTTTTAGAATTTGCAATTAAGTGTGGACTCATCAAAACAAGGAATAATTTATTTTAGTTTTGGTTCGTTGGTGAGAAGTACAAATTTTAATCGTAAAACTTTAAGCGGCATGTTTGAAGCTTTAGGGCAACAACCTTATAAAGTATTTTGGAAAGGTGTAAAAGAGGAAATTCCGGATGATTTAAAAATTCCCGATAATATTATTTTCGAAACGTGGATGCCTCAATTAGATATGTTATGTAAGCTTAATTAAAAGGTTTTGATTTTAAACTTTATTTCCTATTTTTGTTAGGTAATCCAAACACAAAACTATTTATATCTCATGGTGGTTTATTTGGGGTGCAAGAAGCTATTTATTGTGGTATTCCAATTTTGGGAATACCCTTTTTTGCCGATCAAGCTTCAAACATACAATTATTGGTTGAAAAAAACGTTGCTAAATTGATGTATTTACAAGATGTAGCTGAAGGAGATAAGTTTAAAGAAAATGTTGAAACTTTATTAAAACCACAGTAAGATTATAATGATCAACGTTTCCTACTTTTAATTTTTAATTTTTAGATATAAACGAAATGCTGAAAATCTTTCAAAACTTTTCCGAGATCGACCAATGTCGCCGATAAAAACAGCAATTTATTGGATTGAATATGTTATTAAATATAATGGGGCGAATCATTTAAAATCGGCAGTAACACAACTTCATTGGTATCAATATTACTTATTAGATCTTATTGGAGCCATCTTAATAATTTTTATGTTTATATTTATTATTTTGTATTTAATTTGTAAGCAATTAATTAAGTTAGTGTTAAAACTAAACTATATTCATTATATTTGTAATAGTATAAAAAAGAAAATAAAATTTGATTAAAATAATCGATTTAATAAGTAAAATCAAAAGTATTCAATCTCACCAAGAATAGGAAGAATTCATTATAACCAGACAATTTAAACTTCATACAGTCTACAAGCTTGGATCGGAGTCCTTGAGGGTTTCTTCTAACGTCAAAGATCAAGGAATCTTACTTTTCAATAATAAGAATTTCCCAATTTTTATCTCGAATAATACTTAAATAAAATAAAAATGAGGTAAAGGTAAAGCTGACAGAGGAATTGATTAGATATAAGATCAAAATACTGGACTTACCAAAAATAAAGAAGAAGTGAACTAAAGAAGTAGTAATGGACAATTATAAGCTGATCTACTCAGGTGTTCTACTGGGAATTAGAAGAAAAAATGGAGAAAGTTATCTAATAAGCAATAAGGTAGCTAACCAAATAACTGTCTGGGATGGCACTGCGCAGTGGTTCAGACTGCTATTTTAGCTGGAGAAAATGCACAAAAGCGTTTTCTTATAAAGTGATTTGTAACAATTCCAAACTACTTTTTAATGTCTCTATAAATTAACAATTGACAGGAATCTGCTTGTATGTTCGGAGTTGTTTGGCTATCCTAGTTAGAAAAGGGTCTAAGTCGTTACATTTATTAGCCCTGTTTATTTCAAGCAGTGTTCTAACAATTGCAGTTCTGTATTTTTCCAAAATTGCAACCAAAGGTATGTAAAGTATCTTGCAGTAACTAAATGTACTTTTTTTAAATATTGTTAGGACAATGTCATTAAGAAACGAATCATGTAATAATGTAAATTTTACCTATAATTGTCCGACTTTAGTCAAGCTAATATAAAATTCTCCGTATTCCTCCAATTTTTTCTATAAATGGTTGGAAAGTTAGACGGGAAAAGGCAAAGAAGAAGAAGAAAATTCACTAAATGACAAAATGTCCAGTACAGTTTTTATTAAAAAATACAGCGTTAACTTCATTCGTCAATTCAAAGCGATAAAAAAACGAACAACAAAAAAATATCATCAATAGTAGTCTTACATATCCACAAGCCAGCATATTCAGTATAGTCAGAATGTTCATTCACATTAAAAAGAATAATTTTTCAGCTCGAACATTGCTTCCATTAATTGCTGTAACAATAACTTCTTACTCCGAGCATTATTAATCTGTTTATCAGATTGATCGAATTAAAACTTACTAAGTTTATGGTCAAAGGAACCTGTTTGCCGAGGATATCTACAGTCCTCCAGGTGACCCTAGATACCATTTGCGCTTGGTGTAAGGGAGAGAACCTCTCAATAAACCCGCAAAAGACAATTGTTGTGCCCTTCACCAGGAAGCGAAAGTTGGATGGACTAATCCGCCCAACTATCCAAGGTGAAGAAATTCCTTTCTCAAAGGAAGTCAAATATCTAGGAGTAATCCTAGACAAAACCCTGTCATGGAATGGACATTTGCAGGGAGTTTTGCACAAAGCTAGACTATCCTTGTGGACTTGTCGCAGTCTTTGTGGAAAAAATTGGGGTCTTACCCCTGAAAGACTGTACTGGCTCTATGTGACTGTGGTTAGACCTATGATCACATACGGAGCAGCAGCCTGGTATAGGAAAGTCCGACAGACTTCAGTTATCAGTAAACTTTCACGAATTCAACGAGTAGCTGGATTGGCAATCTCTGGTGCGATAGGCACAACGCCAACTCTAGCAATGGAGGTTCTGCTTGGCCTATCTCCTCTGCATTTGCATATAGAGAAAGTGGCTAGAACAACCATTTACAGATTTAAGCAATATGCTCAAAACTGTTCCGACATGTCCTACCAATGGGCTGCGGAAGACATTATAAGCACTGATACTGTGCTATCAATGCCGTCAGATTTGGCGGTATCACTATCAGTGATTAATGCTCGATACCAGATTGTACTGCCTGAGCGGCAGTCCTGGATCGAAAATGAAAATTCTCTGGTTCGGGCAGACATTTGCTTGTACACAGATGGATCAAAAACGCCTGAAGGGGTAGGAGCAGGAGTATACTGCCAGACACCTCGAATTAAGCAAGCCTACAGCCTGGGTACGTACTGTACTGTATTCCAGGCGGAAGTATTTGCTATTGACATGGGTGCTAAAATCCTTCTTGAAAGAGGGGTGAAGAACATGACAGTACGAATTTTCTCAGACAGTCAAGCCGCTCTCCAGGCGCTGCAAGCCGTGAAAACGGTGTCGGCTCTGGTTAATGATTGTAAGAGAACATTAAACACACTGAGTTGTGATAACAGAGTCTCTCTGATCTGGGTCCCGGGTCACTCTGGGGTTGCTGGCAATGAAGCGGCAGATAAGCTAGCACGAGATGGCAGCGCTGAAGCGTTTGTGGGACCGGAACCAGCAGTTGGTGTATCATTTGCGATGGCCAAATATAGGATTGGACTGTGGGCTGAAGAGAGACTTCGCCTACTGTGGACCAGTTCTCCTGGAATGAGACATGCTAAGGTGTTTATTAACATCGCCACTGTCAAACCCGGGAATATTTTAGGACTTGCCCGTAGTAGCATAAAAGTTCTAATGGGTGTTTTTACTGGGCACTGCCGATTAAAAGCACACCTCAACTTGTTGGGTTTAGCCGACGATGTTGAATGCCGACTATGTGCGGAGGAAGCAGAGACGGTTGAGCATGTTTTATGCCACTGCCCTGCCGTTAACCGTATCAGATTCTCGATTTTTGGGTCGCAGTTTATCTCCTCAAAAGATCTGAATGACCTTTCGCCGAGCAAGGTATTAATGTTCGTTAAGAGCATTGGACTGCACGGTGAAATTTGATAACGATATCTATCGGGGTACAATAGATCCTTAGGGTCGCGGTGCAAGGTTGGTTGGTTTGTTTACCCGATATGTATTCTATGTAATGTAATGTAATGTAATGTACTAAGTTTCACAATTTACTGATAAATATTTTTTTCACCGCTAAGAGACAAAATCCTTCTCTTCTCGATCATCCTGAAGAGGTTATCTCAGGTATTACACCTGCTTAATTACATTCCACCCTTAAGATAAATAATCACGATAACGATATGTATAATATCCATCCAGTCTGTCGTAATATACCCATACACACCTCTCTCGTCTGAATTCCTCCATTTTCTCTAACTCTCTCCCGACACTTCTCTACGCACCTTTCCCATTTTCATATTCCCCTTTGATTTATAGAAATTCTGAAATTTCACATTTACCTTTCCTCACCCTTGCTCCATAAATCCGTAGCCTAAATCTTGCTTATCACATTCATTCAAAAATAGTTTGTTATCATTGCTGATCATATATCTATTGTCCTATCTGGTATCGACTCATTCTCATTCCTAACTCAACCCATCCCATACACTTACTTTTTTTGTGTAGCTCTAAACCACATATTTTGCCTCTATATCGCATTGAACCTTGAAACCACTTTCAAATCACTCTCCTTAACGTGGTGCGTTATTTCTGCTCTATACAACAATCCAAACAGCAACAACCTTCCCAATCTGTTTCTGCCAATCCTAAAACCCTAGTAATCTTGTCATTTACATACTACACATGTTTCTCCAAAACGACCTCTACAAGTAAAAACATTATAAACGATGTAAGCACACAATCGAATGAAGCTGTAAGGATTTATTGAAACATAGAAAACAAAGGCGTAACCACTAAAAGTATTTATCAAACAGCAGTACGTCCTAATATGACACATGTGGCTGAGACAAGCAAGACGAAGCAAATTTTGAGAATGATTGAGATACAAACGCGAACATTGAATGAGTGACGAAATAGAGATATGCGAGATAGAGACTTTAGTTCTACCCAATCCAAAAAAGTTTCAATAACATAAACTATGTATTCTGAACATTCAATCTGTCCAACACCACCAATTTCCTCCTTCATTCAATTTCTTCAGTCAGACAACACTTCAGCAACCCTACTCACTTTTCTAGTACTACTCACCACAGGAATTATCTTTTGCACTACCCCCAAGTACTAACGCCTCTGTTTCTCTTCTTATCACACTTTGTCTCTCCGGTTCCTCCTTGCTAATAATGAATTAAATATTGAACGATGGAGTGTAGAAATATTTTGATCATTTATCAGGATTAAGATGACAGTTGGGCAGTGTCCTCAATATTCAACGATGTCTCCAATTACAGATATATTTCGTTGTTGTCACTCATGGGTAAGCTCTTCAAAGCAATAATTTATGCACATGGTGGAACTACATTTTTCTATGGCAGAGAGTAATGTTCCATTTTGTTTCAGATATAATGATTGATCTTGGCTTCCCCATTCTTGCACCGCTACTATTTTGCGATATATTGATGACTTACTAAATGAGTTGAACTATGAGATGTCAATTGTTTGATGATGTTTGATGTAAATTGGCTCTGTCAATGATTGTAGCACTCTATAGACTACCGTTGTGGTAGAGAATAATCCCTTCTTCAATTTTTATATGTTTAGTAAGTATACATCTTTCTCTCATTTTTTTTATATCCCTTTAAATTGAGTAACTTAAGTTTTTTTCCTGTAATTAGATTAATTATCCTGTAAAATGTGTAAAACTGCTGGCGAATATATTATTATTATTAATCATAATCAATATTTTTTTAAAATAAACAAATATACTAATGAAGCTTCAATACCAACAAAATTCTCGAAATGTTATTTTCGTTTTATCTTTCACCTTGCGATATATAAACCATAAAAAAGTAAAAATTCTTAAATACTTAGTTGACTCGCGACTATAAATTGATATATTTGTTAGGCGATCGTGTTATTCCAAAAAATACCAAAACCATGAACCAGTTTAAAAAAAAAAGGATTTCGTTTCAATTATTGTTGGTGCTAAATATATTTATATTTTTCACGTCCTGTAGTGATGGTGCAAAAATTTTAGCATTTTTTCCGTTCTCTGCATACAGTCATATAAATATGATTAAGGTAATGGTTAAACCACTTTTAGATCGTGGGCATGAAATCGATTTAGTTAGTTTTTATCCATTAAATATTAAACATAAAGGGTAAGTTGAAATTATTACTATTATTTTCCTCCTCTCCAAATTATGATATGATCTACCTTTTTAGCTATTCTGATATTGATATAAGTGCCTGTTCCCCAGTGTTAAAAAACAGTATAACATTATCAAAAAGCTTAGTTGCTGACATTGATTTAATGCAAGACATGTTTAATAAGTACGGTCACGAGTTAATGGATGCAGTTTTAAAATCACCACAATTACGCAAATTAAAAAATTCCACAAAAAAATATGATTTAATTTTGCGGCACATTTTATTAAGTGATCCTTTGGAAATTTATTCCCATATTTTTGGAGCGCCCTCAATTGGAATGATTACAAGTGTTAATTTACCTTGGTCTTCCGATTTAGTTGGAATTCCAGATAATCCGGCGTATATTGCAACTTTTAATAGTCCTCATGGTGAAATAATGTCATTTTCTGAACGTGCAATCAACACTATTATATACACTTTTCAAAAGTATGAGTATTGGAAAGTACAAAAGCGTTTCACCGAATTAATTTGGAAATATTTTGGACGAAATATGCCAAGAGTTGAGGAACTTTTAGGAAAAACTAGTTTAATTCTTTGTAACAGTCATTATACAATCCACCAATCTAGATCTATGCCACCGAATTTTATTGAAATTGGGGGTGTTCATATTCCTGAAGAAAACAATTTTACTCTTCCAAAAGTAAGTAAAACATGTACTTCATTTCCTACAAAATAAAGGTGTTATTCTAATTAGAGTCAATTTTATGTTTTAGCATTTACAATTAGGTGTAGATTCATCAAAAGAAGGATTAATTTATTTTAGTTTTGGTTCGACGGTGAAGAGTACAATTTTCAATCGTAAAATTTTAAGCACAATGTTTGAAGCTTTAGGGAAGCAACCCCACAAAGTGTTTTGGAAGGGTGAAAAGGAAGATATTCTTGACGATTTAAAAATTCCCGATAATATTATTTTCGAACCATGGATGCCTCAATTAAATATGTTATGTAAGTTTATTTAAAGGTTGTGATTTAAAAATGTATTTCCTATTTTTGTTAGGTAACCCAAACACAAAACTTTTTATAGCTCACGGTGGCTTATTTGGTGTGCAAGAAGCTATTTATTGTGGCATTCCAATTTTAGGGATACCTTTCTTCGCTGATCAAGCTTCAAATATCCAATTTTTAGTTGAAAAGAATGTTGCTAGATTAATTTATGTGGAAGATATAGCTGAAGGAAATAAGTTTGAAGAATATATAGAAACTTTATTAAAACCACAGTAAGATGATAATGATCATCGTTTAGTAGTTTTAATTTTTATTTTTTAGATATAAACAAAATGCTGAAAATCTTTCAAAACTTTTCCGAGATCGACCAATGTCGCCGATAAAAACAGCAATCTATTGGATTGAATATGTTATTAAGTACAATGGGGCGCCTCATTTAAAATCATCAGTGACAAAACTTTATTGGTATCAATATTATTTATTGGATGTTATTGGAGTTTTCTTAATAATTTTTGCATTTATTAATTTTATTTTGTATTTAATTTGTAAACAATTAATTAAGTTAGTTTTAAATTTAGAATATATTTATTACGTTTGTAATTGTACAAAAAAGAAAATAAAATTTGGTTAAAACAATCTTAATTTGACGTCTCACACACTATATCTAGTACACAGTGTTCATCCCAATCTTTTGATTTAAGATATTTCGTTTTAATTTTCATTTTCTTTCAGCAGTTATAAATGAGTCTTTTAAATTTGTATTTCTTACTCACTATACAAGCCACAAAGTTGAAAATTTGTCTAATTATGCTTCAAATATCCACAAATAGAACGTATTAATTAGTTGTATCGGTCAGTGTTATACAGCATGGTCAAAGTTTGAATTACCAATTTTCGTTATTTAATTGCAACAAATAGAAAGTTAAATGGAATGCCCATATTTTATTAGTCAAGCTTAAAGATTGTAGTTTATGATGAATTATAATGTTATTGAAATATCTAGAAAAAAATTATCAAAGAAGAAATTGTCTAATTTATAAATCAAAAACAATACGACATTTTCAAAAAGTAATATCGACTATATTTTTTAGAATTAAGATTAGATAATATGTGTGTTAAATTGTAGCTTAAAGATTCTAGTTTATAGTATGATAAAAAATATATAAGATAACATTATTAAAATTTCCAGGAAAAAGTTATTAAAGAAGAAATTGTCAAATTCATAAATCAAAAATAACACGAAATTTTCAAAAAATCATATCGGCTGTATTTTTAAGGATCATGATATGATATGTATGTTAAGTTGAAGCTTAAAGATTCTAATTTATGATATGACATAAAAACTATAAGATAATATTATTAAAATTTCCAGGAAAAATTTGTTGAATAAAAATTGTCAAATTTATAAATAAAGAAAAACGTGAATTTACAAAAAATCATACTGGCTGTATTGTTAAGGATCATGATATGATATGTATGTTAAGTCGAAGCTTAAAGATTCTAGTTTATGATATGACATAAAAACTATAAGATAATATTATTAAAATTTCCTGGAAAAAATTGTTGAAGAAGAAATTGTCAAATTTATAAATAAAGAAAAACATGAAATTTCCAAAAAATCATATCGGCTGTATTTTTAATGATCATGATATGATATGTATGTTAAGTTGAAACTTAAAGATTCTAGTTTATGATATGATATAAAAATTATAAGATAAAATTATTAAAATTTCCAGGAAAATTTTGTTGAAGAAGAAATTGTAAAATTTATAAATAAAGAAAAACATGAAATTTCCAAAAAATCATATCGGCTGTATTTTTAAGGATCCTGATATGATATGTATGTTAAGTCGAAGCTTAAAGATTCTAGTTTATGATATGACATAAAAACTATAAGATAATATTATTAAAATTTCCAGGAAAAAATTGTTGAAGAAGAAATTGTCAAATTTATAAATAAAGAAAAACGTGAAATTTCCAAAAAATCATATCGGCTGTATTTTTAAGGATCATGATATGATATGTATGTTAAGTTGAAGCTTAGAGATTCTAGTTTATGATATGACATAAAAACTATAAGATAATATTATTAAAATTTCCAGGAAAAATTTGTTGAAGAAAAATTGTCAAATTTATAAATAAAGAAAAACGTGAATTTACAAAAAATCATACTGGCTGTATTGTTAAGGATCATGATATGATATGTATGTTAAGTTGAAGCTTAAAGATTCTAGTTTATGATATGATAAAAAACTATAAGATAAAATTATTAAAATTTCCAGGAAAAATTTATTAAAGAAAAAATTGGTAAACTTATAAATAAAAAAGAAACACGAATACTTGAAAAATCATATCCGCTGTATTTTTAAGGATAATACTATAATATGTATGTTAAGTTGAAGTTTAAAGATTCTAGATTATGATATGATAAAAAAATTATAAGATAACATTATTAAAATTTCCAGGAAAAAGTTATTAAAAAAGAAATTGTCAAATTTATAAATAAAAAAACACAAAATATTCAAAAAATCATATCGGCTGTATGCTTAGGGATCATGATATGATATGCATGTTAAGGTAAAGCTTAAAGATTCTAGTTAGTGATATGACATAAAAACTATAAGAAAATATTATTAAAATTTCCAGGAAAAATTTATTGAAGAAGACATTGTCAAATTTATAAATAAAGAAAAACATGAAATTTCCAAAAAATCATATCGGCTGTATTTTTAAGGATCGTGATATAATATGTATGTTAAATTGTAGCTTAACGATTCTAGTTTGTGATGTGATAAAAAAGTTATAGGATAACATTATTAAAATTTCCGGGAAAAAGTTATTAAAGAAGAAATTGTCAAATTTATAAATCAACAAAAACACGAAATTTAAAAAAAATCATATCGTATGTATTTTTAAGAATCATGATATGTATGTTAAATTGTAGCTTAAAGATTCTAGTATATGATATGATAAAAAAATTATGAGATAACATTATTAAAATTTCCAGGAAAAAGTTATTAAAAAAGAAATTGTCAAATTTATAAATAAAAAAAACACAAAATTTTCTAAAAATCATATTGACTGTATTTTTATGGGTCATGAAATGATATGTATACTAAGTTGTAGCTTAGAAATTCTAGTTTATGATATGATATAAAAATTGTAAGATAATATTAATAAATTTCCAAGAAAAAGTTATTAAAGAAGAAATTGTCAAATTTATAAATCAGAGCTTAAAGCTTATAGATTCTAGTTTATGATATGATATAAAAAGTATAAGATAATATTATTGAAAATATTTAAGATTCCATGTAAAATAACGATTTTGTGGTTGACTTCTGGCAGCCCTGAAGTACTTATCAAAGTATGTATATCTTAGCATATCAAATAATTAACAATTTTGCGTAGTAAAGCTTTCTATAAGTTTTTATTTTAAGAACGCAAATAAATATAGTAAAAACCAAGATTATGCATATAACTAAAGGGGAAAAGGATAAAATCACAAATATAGTGATAAGGGGGGAGAGACTGGAAATTACAAAACTTATTTGTAAAATATTAAGTAATGGAGGGTAAAAATATTTTGAACATTTAATAGGATTAAGTTGACAGCTGGGCAGAGATGATAGATTGATTTCCGTTGTTGTCAAACATAGGTAAGCTCTTCAAAGCATTAATTTATGCACATGTATGAACTATATTTAAAACAATATGCAAAACATGTATTTCATTTCCCACAAAATAGAGGTGTTGTTATATTTATTTTATTTAGAATCGATTTTATATTTTAGTATTTATAATTAATTAGGTGTAGATAATAACATAAAAATATTTGCTGCAATTAAACACTTTACCTATAACTCGATCAGTTATGTACTAAATATTATGCTTTGTGTGTTAAATCGAATTTTATTAGTTGTGTGTTTTAATTTTGGTGTAATTGTGTTGACGAAAGAAAATTTATATTCAAATATAACGTTGACAACAACAAAATTCTCGAAATATTACTTAACTATCTTTTACCGTACTATGCTAAATATATAAAAAAAAAGGAAATTTTTAAATTCCTCTTTAGGTCGCACTATAAATACGAATATTTGTAAGGCGATCATGATTATTAACTTCCAAGAAATAAAGAAACCATGAAGTACTTTTCAACAAACAAGAATTTTTTTGGATTATCATTACTGCTAAGTGTGTTAATAAATTTTATTTCGTACATTGATAGTGCAAAAATCTTAGTTTTCTTTCCTTTATCTACATATAGTCACGTAAATATGTTTAAAGGGATGGTTAAGCCACTTTTAAATCGTGGACATGAAATCGATTTTGTTAGTTTTTATCCATTAAACATTAAAGATAAAAGGTAAGAGTGTTTATAACTAACAAATCGTTCCTCCGTCTTTAACAAAGTTAAAATGATTTGTTTATAGTTTTTTTTTGTTTTTAGATATTCTGATATTGATATAAGTAATTGTTTTCCATTATTTAAAAACAACGTAACAATTTTAAAAAGCGCAGTTTTTGACTTAGAGTTAATGCAAGAAATGCTTAATACTCTCGGTCACGATATAATGGATGCAGTTTTAAAATCGCCGCAATTACGCGAATTAAGAAACACCACGAAAAAATACGATTTAATTTTGCGACATGTTTTGTTAAGCGATCCATTAGAAATGTATTCGCATATTTTCAAAGCGCCCTCAATTGGAATGATAACAAGCTTTAATTTACCTTGGACTTCCGATTTAGTTGGAATTCCTGATAATCCGGCTTTTATTCCATGCTTCAATAGTCCTTATGGTGAAAAAATGACATTTATTGAACGTGCACTTAATACTTTTATATATACTTATCAAAAATACCAATATTGGAGTCTTCAAAAGCGTTTCACGGAGTTACTTTGGAAATATTTTGGACGAAACATACCAAGAGTTGAGGAACTTTTAGGAAAAACTAGTTTAATTTTTTGTAACAGTCATTATACAATACATCAATCTAGATCTATGCCACCGAATTTTATTGAAATTGGGGGTGTTCATATTCCTGAAGAAAACAATTTTACTCTTCCAAAGGTAAGCAAAACATATATTTAATTGCCTAAAAAATAGAGGAGTTTTTATGTTTATTTTAATTAGAATCGATTTTATATTTTAGCATTTACAATTAGGTGTAGATTCGTCAAAAGAAGGAATAATTTATTTTAGTTTCGGTTCGATGGTGAAAAGTACAATTTTCAATAGTAAAATTTTAAGTACCATGTTTGAGGCTTTAGGGAAGCAACCCCACAAAGTATTTTGGAAAGGTGTAAAGGAAGAAATTCTCGTCGATTTAAAAATTCCCGATAATATTATTTTCGAACCATGGATGCCTCAATTAGATATGTTATGTAAGTTTATTTAAAGGTTGTGATTTTAAAATTTATTTCCTCTTTTTGTTAGGTAACCCAAACACAAAACTTTTTATATCTCATGGTGGTTTATTTGGTGTGCAAGAAGCTATTTATTGTGGTATTCCAATTTTGGGAATACCGTTCCTCGCTGATCAACCTGCAAATATCCAATTTTTAGTCGAAAAGAATGTTGCTAAATTAATTTATGTGGAAGATATAGCTGAAGGAAATAAGTTTGAAGAATATATTGAAACTTTATTAAAACCACAGTAAGATAATAATGACCAACGTTTCCTTGCTTTAATTTTTAATTTCTAGATATAAACAAAATGCTGAAAATCTTTCAAAACTTTTCCGAGATCGACCAATGTCACCGTTAAAAACAGCAATTTATTGGATTGAATATGTTATTAAATACAATGGGGCACCTCATTTAAAATCATCAGTAACAAAACTTCGTTGGTATCAATATTATTTATTGGATGTTATTGGAGCTTTTTTAATAATTTTTGTGTTTGCTAGTTTCATTTTTTATTTCATTTGTAAACGATTAATTAAGTTAACATTAAAGATAAAATTAATGGGATATATTTGTAATGCTGTAAATAAGAAAATTAAATTTGATTAAAAAGTTATATGTATAGCATTGTATAATTTCTAAATAATAGAAATGTAGAGGAAAGAAATGAAAAGAGATGAGAAAATTTTCTACTCGAAACAATAAAAATCATTCGTATAAAATTGATTCAATGATCATAGTGATATTAATTAATATAGAAAGAATTAAATAAAATTCGTATAACGATGATAGAATTATTTATTTATGTTATTTAGTGCTTACTATAGTATTCGACCATATAGTGCAATAGAACATAGAACAATCCAGGAATTACCCTAAATATTATGATCTAAAAATATAAAAGTAAATTACCGTCAAAGCGCAATTTAGATACTAAATGACATCAAATTCTTTAGGATGAATGATCTTGACTCAAAGTTGTTCTAAAAATCAATAAAAAAGGAATACAAAATGGTCAATTGTACAAATAGCGTACTTACAATAATTATTCGTTAAAGAAGATTTAAAAATCAATATGATGTATGTCGGAAAGTAAAATAAACGGCGATGTTAACATATTAAAAGCATTGAAAAATCACGAACACGAGTACTCTTCACACAAAAAGACGAGATAGACTGGTTTCGATAAAAAATTATTGAAGAGAGAAGAAAGGCCATATCTCATTCTAGAAAGCAGAAATATGTTGTATCTATTCTTAAATACTTAAATTCTATTTCCATCTATATCTATAAATATGAAACATCTATCAATAGATTAAATGGAAAAATCACTTATTGCATGTATATGATGAAAAACATATAATTATTAACATCCGCTAGGTTGTTCATAAGACAATTAGTGTTGTTATTCTTATATATAAAGTATTCCTCAACTAGATCAAGTTTTTCGATTTCTTTATGTTTTTCAACAGACTCACATTATTAATGTCTGTGGATGATTATTAAGTTTTAAATGCTTAAAAACAGCTGAAGTACCTCTATTTAGGTGTTCTTTAAATCTACTGTGGATGTTTCTTCCAGTCTGTCTTATATAGCACATGTTGCAATTTGAACATTCGATCATATATACACCGTTCAATGACGTATTATCAAATTTGTGTTTATTATTTAACAAATGTTTATATATTTTTGAATTCGATGAGAAATCTGGGATAATGTCAACTTTACCAAGATTTTTCCTGATTTTTGACTGAATGGAAGGGACGAATGGTAAGGTTATATATTTAACGCTTTTCTTATAGTGCGGATATATTAGTTTAATGATGTTACATTTATGTACCATGTTATGAATATCCTGTAAGTCTTTGATGTTGTATCCATTATTCAAACGATTTTTACAATTTTATGGAGTTCTGTAAGATAATTGGAATCATTTAACGGTATTTTTTGTAATCTATTGAAAAGAAAACGAAATAATGCCTGTTTATGTTCATTAGAGTTGAATGAATGTTTGGGAATTATTACGTCTGTGGCTGTGTGTTTGCGAAATATATCAATGCTCAAGCTATTATCAGGATCTCTTGAAATCACTAATTGTAAGTCTAAAAAGTTCAGTCTACAGTCTGTTTCAATTTCAGAAGTGAACTGCAGGTTATTAATATTATTAAAAATATTATTTAATGCAGAAAGTTTTGCTGCATTACCTTAAATAATGATAAAGATATCATCTAAATATCTCCCGTAAAATGTGATATCTTTATAAACTTATATTTATCTGAGAAAAGCTTGTTTTCGAAATGATTGACATAAATATCAACTATTATATCTTTCATCTGGTAATAATTATTATTAAAAATGAAAAAGTTTTGGTTGCATACCATTTTAAGTAATCTAGAGAAACATATTATATTATTAAACTAAGATTAGAACTAAAACTAGAACTAACAGTAGAAACTTTCGGGTTTTGCCGTGCGTCTTTTAATAACAGGTTTGACGTTTCGGATGCCATGTTGCAACCTCCTTCAGAAACTGGTTCGAAGTGACGAGATCAAAAAATCGGTAACTATATATAAGTCGGAAAAACTAATTAATAATCAGTTAACGCTAATTACAAACTAATTAATAACTAATTGCGTCGCGTCCGGTGTGAGGCGGGAAGAGGTCTTCGTGTTCACCACCATCTTCCATGTTCTGCTAAGCTCCCAGCCATCCTCTCTGTTGACGTTATTTTTATGTCGGTGAATCTCTATGGCTTCTCTTGTCAGTCTTTGGTAGTATCTGTTGTCCCTAGCCAGCACCTTTGTTTGTTCGAAGTCTATTCGGTGCCCCTCTGCATGGCAATGTTCCGCAACCGCCGACTGCTGGATCTTCTTCAGCCTTACATCCCTCTCATGCTCCTTGATGCGGCACTCGACGTTGCGTCCAGTTTGGCCAACATAAACCTTCCCACAACTACACGATAGTCGATAGACTCCCGCTCCTTTTAATGGAGTTAGTTTGTCCTTGGCTATCGGGAGTGTGTTCCGAATTTTGCTGACCGTGCCGTACCGCACTACGATGTCGTTCTTCTTGAGGTGCCTAGCAATTCGTTCCGTTACACC